GGTGTACATGGCTGGCGCCTTAGCCGGTTGAGCTATAGGCGCCGAGCCTTTTTTTCTTTTTATTAAGAGCTCTGTTGCCTAAGCTACAGTGCAGTGGCATGATCATAGCTCATTTGCTGCCTCAGACCCCTGGCCTCAAGCAATCCTCCCACGTCAGCCTCCAAAGTAGCTGAGACTACAGGCATGAGCCACCACACTTGGCTATCTCTAACTTCCGTAATTTCAAAAGACTGGTGGTGGAAGCTACTATTTATTTAAAAAAAGAAACAAAACAAAAAAACTGAGCACAGAAACACATGTCTGTAGTCCTAGCTACTTGGGAGGCTAAGGACAGGGGCACACTTGAGCCTAGGAGTTTGAGATTAGCCTTAGAAATACAGTGAGACCCCAAGTTCAAAAAAATTTTTTTAACAGAAGGGTAAGTATAGGCTGGGCACAGTGGTTCATTCCTGTAATCCTAGCTCTCTGAGAGGCGGAGGCAGGTGTATTGACTGAGCTCACGAATTCAAGACCAGCCTGAGCCAGAGTGAGACCTTGTCTCTAAAGAAAATAGCTGGGTGTTGGTTGTGGTGGGCGCCTGTAGTCCCAGCTACTTGGGAGGCTGAGGCCAGAGAATCACTTAAGCCCAAGGGTTTGAGGTTGTTGTGAGCTGTGATGCCTCACCACTCTACTGGTGGTGACAAAGTGAGACTGTCTCCAGAAAAAGAAAAAAGAAACTAATTCTTTCGCGTCCTCACTTCAAAGATGACAAAGAAAAGAAGGAACGAGGGTTGTGCCAAAAAGGGCCGTGGCCATGTGCAACCTATTTGCTGCATGAATTGTGCCCGATGCGTGCCCAAAGACAAGGCTATAAAGAAGTTCATCATTTGGAACATAGTGGAGGCAGAAGCTGTGAGAGACATTTCTGAAGTGAGTGTCTTTAACGTCTATGTGATTCCCAAGCTCTATGTGAAGCTACATTATTGTGTGAGTTGTGCTATTCACAGCAAGGTAGTCAGGAACCGTTCTCAGGAAGCCCATAAGAACTGAACACCTCGGCTCGGCGCCTGTGGCTCAAGCAGCTAAGGCGCCAGTCACATACACCTAAGGTGGTGGGTTCGAATCCCCAGCCCGGGCCCGCCAAGCAACAATGATGGCTGCAACCAAAAAAATGGCCAGGAGTTGTGGTGGGCGCCTATAGTCCCAGCTACTTGGGAGGCTGAGTCAGGAGACTCGCTTGAGCCCAGGAGTTGGAGGTTGCTGTGAGTTGTGATGCCATGGCACTCTACCCAGGGGGATAGCTTGAGGCTCTGTCTCAAAAAA